ACACACACACACACACACACACACACACACACACACACACACACACACACACACACACACACAAGAGACCCGCGTGCAAGTGCGTCAGGGCGGACGAACGAACATTGGAAGGAGTAGAGGAGGAAAAAGGCGTGGGCCATGACGAAGAACACAAGGAAGTTCATAAAGTAATGGTGGTTCCATGCGCCTGTACATTGTGCAATAGCAGATGCACAGGAGGTTGGCAATTGGTGAGAATAATTTGCGCATGCGACTTCATGCAAGCAAGAAGCATCGTCGCCAACGTCGCAGCTTGCTTGTGTGTGTGTGTGTGTGTGTGTGTGTGTGTGTGTGTGTGTGTGTGTGTGTGTGTGTGTGTGTGTGTGTGTTGTTTGTGGTGCAGTTGGGCAGGAGGGCATGTTGTCACGCACCAACGTCGTTCTCCACAAACGGGCAGTAGTGGTCAAACTTGGCCACGCTGTCAGGTGCGATCGAGTGCGTGCGTGAGTGCGTGCGTGCGTGCGTGCGTGCGTGTGTGAGTGTGTGTGAGTGAGTGTGTGAGTGTGTGTGTGAGTGAGTGTGTGAGTGAGTACATATGTGTGCATGTGCGCATATGTGTGTGGTGCGAAGGTGGTGGTGACGCCAAGCTGTTAAAGACGACAATGAAGCAAACATGTGCCACCGGAAAGCCGCACAAGAGCGCACAACAGTGCCGTGGCAACAGATGAACAGAGCACAAGCAGAGGGAGGTTGAGCACCATTTGTTCGTGACGGCGGAGTGCTTGGAGCGAAGTGGACGTCGAATCTGCGCAGTCAACGATGGGGCCATTGCAATCAAAGACGTGTGGCATGCATGGCATATGAGCAGCAGCACCTGTGAAACAGCATCAAGTGGGCACGCAGCGCAAAGATAACGACAAAATACACAAATGAAAGACATCACAACCCCCAAACACTACGTACGGCGCACGTCGGGCAGAACGTGTTTCCGTTCAGCTCATCCCTCTGTAGGTTTGTGCGCGTGCGTGTATGTGTGTATGTGTGCAATGAGAGTGAGCGAATGTGTTGGGTGGTTGGAGGAGCAACGCAAAAATAGAAGAAGAGCACGGCAAGAAAGGGCAGGTGAACACACTCAAGAGACGCATGGGCAGGATCAACAGTGAGCCAGAGAGATAGAAACAGGAGGCCACACACACACGCACACACACACACACACACACACACACACACACACACACACACACACACACGCACACAAACAATCAGCCGAACAAAACTCGATCAAGCAAAACCACATGAGAGCATTCGGGCGGACCTCAGCGAGCTCAATGATGACGCGCTCGCGTGTGCTGCGATCTGGGCGGATGTAGCCTGGATCACCCGTGTGTGTCTGATGATACATGCACATACACAAAACACAATACGCACACGCATACACACACATACACACAATCACATTCACGAATGCATACGCATGCGGACATATATGTATGTGCAAGAAGGACGAGGGAGACGGGGGTGAGTTGGTGGAGATTGCCTTGAAATAGCATTCGCTGGCAATGCGTGGCGTGCCATCACACAGCACCTTGTAGAAGCTCCATGCGAGGAGGAAGATGTTGACTGCAACCACCATCTTCATGGGCAGCGACATCAGCGGGCCGTCGGCACTGCACGCAGCGACGAGATGTGTGTGAAGAGCACATGATGACAGAGGTGAGCAGGTGGTTGCATGGAGGATGCAAGCGACGGAACAAAACAGGGTACAGCAATGGAACAGAGGCGCACAGACAGACACACAGACAGACAAGACAGACAAGACAGACACACAGACAAAAGCACACATCGGGATGTCAACGTACAAGACAGCTGGCCAGAAGAGGTGGAAGGTTGTGACTGCAAAGAGGATCTTGGTACCAAAGTACACAGACATGGACACGGGCGACTCGCCAGGCTTGTAGCCGTGGTTGAAGAAGCTGTGGAGCAGAGATGCAGTGGCAGGAGGGGAAACGGGAGGAAGAAGTGGTGTGGTGTGGTGGTATGGGTAAGTGAGAAGGTGAGGAGTAGGACGGAAACGGATTTGTGTGTGTGTGTGTGTGTATGTGTGTGTGTGTGTGTGTGTGTGTGTGTGAGGACCGGGTGAGCAGTCAATGATGCAAAGGAAGTTAATGGTGCACACACAGGCATTCAGGCAGAGTTTGCGCCGCCGGCACGTGCAAGCACACGCACGCTACAACGTGTACACAGCGGACAGTGACTGACTTGTTGCCCATGACCCAGCCCCAGATGGCAAGGAAGAGGTAGACAATACCCCAGACGATGCTGGAGCGAAGCTGGTGAGGCGTGTGTGTGTGTGTGTGTGTGTGTGTGTGTGTGTGTGTGTGTGTGTGTGTGTGTGTTTAATTTACAGTCACCTCCGTCAATACAGCAGCCACCAGCAGCTGCGAGTCATCTGCCCCTGAGAGCCTGTAATCTCAGGAAGAACCCATCTTTAGATGAACATCAATGACTGGAGATGTGGGGGACGTGTGAA